GACTTTTGAACCCAGGGGTATGTTTCTTTGGGTGGGGCCCTTTCCCCCCTTTCGCCGGGGTTAAAATTTGGGGAACTTTTCCCAGGGGTTGGGAAAATTTTTAATTTATTGGTAGTGGGGGGGTTTTCCCCAACCCCCATTGTTTTATTCCAAGCCTTAAAACCCAAATAAAAGGTTTCCCCACCCCTCCCCACCATTTTCCAGACCAGAAAGTACCATTTTCCCCCTTCTTAGTAACAGGTCCCGGTTTCCCCGCCGCCCGGAAACCCCCCCCCCCCCCAACCCCCCCCAAGGGAGAAGGGAAAAACCCAAAAAAAGCCCTGTACAAAAATTTCCAAAAAAAAAAAAAATTTTTTTCATCCCCCCCCGGGGGGGGGGGGGGGGGTAGGGTTAGGTGTCGGATATATTTTTTTTTGTGCGCCCTTGAATTTCCCCGACTTTTTTTTCGCCACGTCGTGATCTTTTCCCTGCAACTGTGGCCTTAGCCTTCCGTCTTCTGTTCGGACTCTAATTGATACTATTGATACCAATTGATACCATTGTTGTTTCAAATTCATGATCAAGGGCTCCTGTCGCCATTCCGACGCCTTCACCACTAAACAAAATAAATGATCATGTCTCGACGCCTCCGCATGGGTCTTGCCATCATCCTTTGGCATGCGGCATACGACCGAAGATACTTCCGTCTGAGGCTGCGGGCCCCAAACTTGCGTGGGCCGATAGGCCCCCGCGGCCGGAGACTTAACTAGGACTATGTCTGCGCCCTGAGACGCAAGATTTTCAACGATTGTTGCACGCCCAAAGAAATATGTTTTCTTTGGTGCATCAGAGTCTGCGATCGCCTTTAGACTAATTGTTTCGCCGGTCTTGGCCCACTGGAGCGGGCCACTCGCTTGATCACAACGCCCCTGTCGCGAACTCCAGAGGCGAGTAGAGTTACAGCGCCGTGAATGCACGCAACCATTATTTCAGTCATTGAGGTAGACATTGTGGTGCGGTAAATCGGTAATAGGGTTGAAACAGTGTTGAAACATTCTGTTCGGCTGTCTTCACCTACCTGACCGAGCTAGTCTTGCTATCACAACGCCCATGTCGCGAGCTCGAGACTCCAGGGGTGAGGCGAGTTACATCACCGTGAAAAACGCTCAAATCTCTAAAATCTCCTGCACCACGGTAAATCTACGCACGAACGGAACTGTCAACCCTAAAAATCGCGCAGCTGGTTGGACAAGGCTTTGCGTATATTGATTGGGGTACGCCATGCTTGCTTGCGTAGTCTCTCTGCAAGTTTTCATCATGCAGTAAATTAAATGATAGAAGATGATGATGCATTACACAAATGCGTGTGGCTACAACAGTCACCAGTGTGATCAGTGCGCCAGGCACGCGCCTTTGCACGCTGTCTTTTGCTAGCTACGGATCTGCCTCGCGTCGGATACACCCACCCGCCTACCGTCGGATATACCCCCACCGAAACAAAATTGGAGGCGGCCCTGTAATCCAACAAAACATTCAACCATTTACTGGCCTTTTGAGTCATATGCATACGACAGTATTACATATATAATAGTCAGTTCTTTGCGGAAAGCTGGATCGACATTGAATGGTTGACGTCGTCATTCCAGAGATAAGAGATAGAATTAACTGTCCATCGATCAAATGTTCGGCAAATGGTTGAACGAAAGTATGACGTTCGAATTTTCCGTCATGACCCAACATTCATCGTAGTCGGGACGTCTTTTCCAGTTTCGTGCCCTTGGTATGCTGGCACAGTTTTCACACGCACCACCCTTCCTTCCAGTCCTGAAGGCAGGGGCGCCTGGTGCCCGAGCCTGGAGAGCTTGTACATTCTACCATCATTACCTCCTCCTAGGTGGTTACCTTGGCCAAAGTCCATAAGCCTCTCGGTCTGTATCAATCACAATAGCTCGGCGGGGTAGCCCCAGCCTCATCTCAAGCTGTATTCCTTTCTGCCACAGCCGCTTGGCAAGTGAAAGATGACCATTATTTGTGTCGGGTGTGATGCGAGTTGTTCTCTGATGTAATGAGCAACTAGCAATTGAGCCAAAACGCAAGTAACAAATAAGCCTACAGATCAAGTATTTACAAGGTCTGCCTGCTCCCTTCGGGACGTTGGTGTCAAGCCTCCCCCGGGCGACGAACGATGGCATGCCCGGAAGGGTCATTGATGGGCAAATATAGCGCTCGTATTCTGTACAAAAATACCTCGCACGTATTTGGTACTGCAGCGGTGGGTGGGCAAGTATCATCGATAAATCACATCTGTGACACGGACGAAAGAGCCAATAGCTGTTTCCTAAGGTGCTAGGTTCCCCCCCGGCAAGCTCTCGACTATCGCGTCCTCAATTTCTGAGCGCTCTATACAAGACGCACCATGCACACAGCTTGTGGGGGATAACATGGTCATTCTGTCGCTTCCGTTGGTGGGGAGGAAACACCGAAAAAACAAACTGATCGAAAGGTTAAAAAATACTCCAGTAGTTCCTTTTGAGGCGGCAGGTAATATTTTGCATGTTTCCAACCGTTGCCACCTCAGTTCCGTGCCTCCTATCGCCTCGTGGTCTCTATCAGCCGCCACGCAAGACGTAACTTACCCACAGCTCGTGGGGGATAGCTTTAAATTCATGTTGCTTCAGTTCGGCGTATGTTTATTGTTGAAAGTATCATCAGCAGGGATCACACACAGGGCGAGGGCATCCGACGGCGACGAACGACCGAGCGACGAACGACCGAGCAACGAACGACCAAACCCAACCCCAACCCAGTACTACTCATAGCCCAACACGGGCCCAACACGGCCCGATACCGTCCAACCTAACCCAGCAACAGCAAACTCGCCCGCGTGCAAATAAATACTTTTTCACGACCCGCCCCTGAAACCACGTCACAGAGACAGTAGTAGCCTGACTGCAAACTGCGGAGGGACTACTACCACCATCACTACTTCTACTACGGCCAACAAACTTTTCATTTGATCATTTTATATTTTTTGTTCAGGCCCGCCGATCAGCACGCATACATGTGACTTGACTTTTGGTTTAAAAAAAGAACTGTTTAGACAACACTGAGTAAACCTCAGGTGGGTCGAATTATCCAGCGACACCCACGAGATTACCACCGCGTCTTGGCCAGACTCACCAGCTTCATGCTGCGCGTATACCCGGTATTCGTTCGGGTTGTGGGGACGCTGTTGAGACTGCCGAGTGAATACCGAGCGTCTGACTAGACAACCTCTGATGAATATTCCGCACTGAAATAACGAACTATCAAGAGCAACGGGCGTAAACACCTTATTACTAAACCGACTTCCAAAGCTCGAGTGATCCACAATCAAGAGGGTGTGAGCACCGATCGATACCACCCTCTTTGGCATTGATTGGCATCGAGCCAATAAGAAAGTCAGTCTAGGGTGTGTGCGATGACTTGCAGTTTAGGGTACCGACGACGCAACATCTCCTCCAAGATAACGCCCCTGGAATCCTTTTTTCGTCAAGACGTCAAAGGGGATAACACAAAATCTTTCTTAACAAGAATATCTTACGACAATGCAATTGGTCAAAGCACAATAAAGAAACACACCGTCGTGCGCACGTGGTCTCTAAGCAGAATTTTGGCGCTTCGCGGACTACCCAACACGACGGAGCGATTCATAGGTCAAAATAGTGAATATTGTGTGCCGGTAGAGTGTAGGTTGTTTCACCGAGAAAGAACATATTTCGTACTGAAATCCCACAGAGCCTACGGATATAGATCGTGCAAAGAGGGCACGCAGCTAAGCACGCCCCCCAATTGGTGTGCGCTTATTTCGCCATGAGATTCCACGTAATGTTCATGTGTCCACAATCAATCACAGCTCAGCGGACCAACCGAAGACACGCTGTTCATTTCTAAACTCCCCTTGGGTAGTTGGCCTGTAACCACGAAAGGCATCTGGGTCAGCCCGTGGACAGGTACGGGTGAAGACAACAACAGCATCCATGAACGGATCGAGTAGCGTGGTAGAGACCACGATATTTTCTTGCGTACGAAGAAAAAAGACCTCTCAGGCACCGAGAGGAGAGAAAAGGCATTATAGTGTACACACTTCTTCTGGTGAAGGATTCAATACTGCCGAAAATGCTCGCGCTGGTTTATCTAGCATGCACGATCACAGGGAATCACAGGAGACCACCAACACGCGCTCTTCTCACGTTTATGTGAGCGAGAAACTGGGACAAAAGAAGAGCGGCCGGACCCCAGATGATTATCTTCCGACTTAGACTAGTTTTTCTCTTCAATAAGAAGAGCCGGACGGGAGAGGGGAGAGGCAGAGGGCGTATATTCTGCACTTCTTCTCCATCTGGAAAGGGGTAGAATCGTTTTCATGTGGTGGAAGGTAATGGTCTCTCTCTGCACGATCAGCTCAGACAACCACCAGCAAGCGCGCTTTTGACCCATGGATGCCGTGGCGCATGTACACTAGACGCGGAGACCACGAAAGAAGTAGTCGCGCTAACATGAACATTCTCGGCCATGATGACTCAAACCTCCGACGTAATGTTGGGGATGCGGTTTGTGGTTTGAATTGCGTGAGAGTGGCGTGTGCGCGAGGGGGGGAGTGGGTGAAACGCATACGGGGCAGAGGCTGATGAAATGATATGGCAAGGAAACCCCTCTAAAAGCCGGTCCGATTGGTGGTTTGGCGGACCCCAAGAAATAATATCATAGTTCGAAGAACAAGACAAAAGAGAAAAGAGAGATGGAGAGAGGGAACGAGACCTGCTGTGGGCGTATCTGGATGTAGACGAGAAACTCTCCTCAAGGCCCTCTGATACGTACTTCTCGAGAGATATCTGGAGAGAATGAGTCGGACCCCACAATATTATTTGTTCTTCTCTCAATGGCCCCAACACAGAGCCGGAAGGGAGAAGGGAGAAAGACAGAAAGGTCGAGTAGTACGTATGCGGTTCCCCGTGGTGGACAGGCTGGAAGGCATCGTTAGTCGCCTGCGTTGTCGATTCTCTCCCCCTTACACTTCACAGCACACACATGATATTATTCTATATTTCAAGAGCATTGATGGGCGTCTCAACAACTTCAAGCAGGTGCGTAGAGACGGGGCCCAACTTCCAAGATTTATGATGGTCAGCCTGAAGTAGGCTACATACACACATAATTCAACCGAAATGCCGAGACCCAACAGGAAACTGTGACACATGTACTGCAGCAACACCAGGGGCATCATCGCGCCATTTCACATGCACAACAGCCCGGATACACTGGTAGCTGAGCTCGTAGTCCTTTCACTCACAGCAAGAAACACAAAGCATCACTCGCGCGCAAGAGCCACTAAAACGCTCATCGATGACGCGTTCGCGCGTAACGATGAATTGTGTCGGTGCATGTTGGTCCTTGAGAGACGCGCGTCGCTACACGAGCGTTCAACCCTAAACCCTGTAGACACAAGAGACTAGTTTACATAGATGCGGTGCGGTCCAATTTTGAAACGCTTCAAGTGCCTTTACTTACGGCTTGGCCTACATATACATGACCTCAGGCATTCAAATCGACTGTGGAGGGAAAGAGCTGCGCTGAGTTTCGCGCCCCAACTCACATAGGCGCTGATTCGCGGTCACTGTGTGCTTGAAGTGTTTCAAAATCTGGCCGCACCGCAGCTTCAAAATCCTGCTTGTAGCTAACTAATCTCGATGATAGACGGATCGTTTGGAAAATTGCGGACCCCTAATCTGTAATGTATCACAAGGGCTACAATCTCAGACACGCTAACATTGTACACGAGGGGGGGTCAGCGGACGGTTCATTTGCGATGGAAGTTTCGTACTCGAGTTAGACTTTGGAAAACTCAGATATGCAGGCGTTTCCTGGATTTTTAAGAAGAAAACCGTACCCCGATGCGTCTTTAAGAAGTCGCCTCACACGCCTTGAGTCCACCCCGGGCGTTTTAGGATGTCGAATTATGCACAGCACGCGAAGATATGTTGCAGTAATAGGTGCGTCATGGCTGGGTGCCGGATGTGTGTGGATACAGGTAGGTTTTGAGAACAGCGCGCGTATGTATGCGCAAGATCACTACATAGCGAGGCAGCGGTCATTTATTTGCGGATCAGCAGAATAGCTCGCAGGAGGATCCCTAGAACTTTGAGCCGTGAACTTTGTGAACGAGGTCCTAGATAGACGGATGTGTGGAAAAAAATGACGGAAAGTCAATGGGAGAGAGAAGGATTTGTCGCATGACGTTGCTATCCATCTTGTAAACACCTCGAGGTGTTCTCTGGTAAAGGTACCGCGAGTTTTGGACAGCCAAGGTTGTACAGCAGTAGAGCTGTCGAGCCCCCGTCTTCGTAGTGAGCCGCGGAGCGCGAAGCGCGACCTTTTTTCCCTTCATCCCCAGGAGGGAAAAAAAAGCTCCACGTATTGGCCTATTCCGCCGCGTGCAGCAGCGGCCTCAAACTTGGTTTCCGGGAAGCCGAAATTTCCAACCTTTGGGACTAGAACGACATCTACAGGGCACCGATTGACGATCTGTTCGCTTCTCAGGAAGAACATACATAGCGCACCGATAGCAGATGGGCCGTGCTACACAAGCGTCTGTGCCCTCAATTCGTAGAAGATCGCTGTCCCCAACCTCGGGGTTTCTCCGCGACAAGGGGAACACAACAACGGAGATTGCGCGCGCACGCGACTAAAACCAGAAGAAGAAACAACACCACCAAAAAACGCGTCACCGCTGGGACACTGATCCGAGACCAGCTATGAAAACCAGGAGGGGCCGAGCCTAAACGACCTGCGCGCCGTGGGTATAGTCATGTGCCATGTATAACCTGGCGGGAGTGTTTATTGACGTTGAGTGGGTCCAACCGACTACTCAATAAACAACAGCAGATCGATTATCACAAACACACAACATATAACACCTTCCCCATGTCCAGATCACACCTACTATCGAGAGAAACCGTCGAGGGCGTGAGGGTAAACTGCTGTGCGTTATCAGGATGGTTTCCCGGGATCGGTTCAGGTTGCGTACTTGCGCCGCCCTACTGACTGTCTTCGCAAAAGCTGTGCCCTGCCTGCTGTTGTTGCTGCTGCCGGGTCTCTCGCATCTAAGTCATGACCATCAACGGCGCTGTTGCATGTACATGTTGCTGCTTGCTTTCACTTGGCGGGAAATTCGGAAGGCCTGAGACGAATGTGATGGCGGGTAAGTCGTAAGCCTGACGTAATATTTGTCATCTGTCTGTTACGCATCTGTCTGTCACAATCCTATGTCTACGTTGCTGCTCGTGCTCCTCGGCAATGTCATGTATGCACATGTATGATACGCTCGCCGCCAGGTATTATATGCCGCAAGCGTGCCTCTTCCAGATGTGTGTCTTTGGGTTAGCTCAGCGGGAAGACTTCATATTTTGGTTCTTCGTGGGTGTGTGCATGTGCATCAACGGAAAAAAGAAACTGCGGCAGGTAATGTGCAATTTCTTTAACGGGCCGCACATACAACCTCGTCGCGCCCGTCGCACCCCGCCCTACCAAGTAAGACGCACCTGAAACAATGTCCCTCTCGGTGGCGGTTTCACAATAGCCGCTCCGTGTACGTCATCAAAGGCGTCCATATCGGTGCCTTTTAGCGGAATAATGTTTTGCCTGCTACCCGCGTATACGCCGTGGCTTGCGTTAAAAGCTTCTGGAGGGTCGTTCTTCGAGAACACGAACATTGAAACCGTCGCGTTCGTATGGCTCCGAGTACCACTCTCTCCGTCAGTCGCATAAAAAGAAAAATTGGCGTACACGACCGAGTCGTTGGTGGAGAAGTCGTTCAAAATGGGCCGGTATCTCACGGCGAACCCTCCAGCATCTCCTAGAACTTCGAACGGCACGGAGCTGATATCATCACCCGACGAATTCACAAGGGAGCCCGGAAAAGGCAGTGTGTTCACGAATACCCTCGGGCTCGTGCTGTTGTCGTAGTTGGGCGTTGCAGGATCGTTGTCTGAGTCATACACGTCGAGGGGAACCATCTGGAGCTCCGACACTGGAAATACCTGAAGGTAGGACTGAGGGTCTTCATAGTGATCCCCCTCTTCACCGTCTTCAGCAACGCCTATGGTTGTATCGCTAACCACTGGAGTGCTATTTGTGATACGAGCAGAATATCTCGAGAGAATCTCCGTAACGCCCAAGGTTTCGTCGTGGATTGCAAGGTAAAAAATCTTGATTCCTGGTCCCTCCGTGTAAAATGAACTAGGGATTTGCCGACTCCAATCTAGTAGTTGCAGATTGAAGTCCGAATCCCATAGCGTCATCATTGTCTCGGGAGGAACGTCCTTGCTGAGGTCTCGTGCCACGCGTGTGCCGTTGATATACCATCTGAAATACGCGTAGGGTTGACCAAAAAATACTATCGAATCGATTGTCAACACCAAATGAAGCGCGTATCCCATACTCTCACTTGGCTGTATCGCACCGCTCCACAACCGCTCGCACTCGTCGTCAATTGACATAAAGCGGGCCCCAAAATCACCGGTCTCAGTCCAGTAGGTAATCATCATACCTAGGTTCTGTTGGCAATCATCATCGAGGCTAGTATCGCTCTCGCCGATGGTCACGATGGGAGTGGTGCAAAAACCATCGCATGCCGGCATCTCTGGAACACTCAGCCATAACTCCAGCGAGAAATGACCTGGAGAAGAATCATCGTTGAGCAACTCTTCCCGCAGAAGTGTTGTATTTCCAATAGATGAGGCACCTGGTGATCCTGGTGAGGCCGAAGTCCGCTCTATGCCCACGCCTGGCAAGCATGATGCTGTCGAATTGTCAAGCGAAAGATCACCGAAGAATCGTTTTCCTCCGGCCACATCGGCAACGACGTCGCGGCGGCATTCCTCTTGGGAGAACTCGTACTGGATCAGAACAGCAGCATTGATCTGGCATGTACCACCAAGAAGATATGCTAAGAGCGTATATGCTCGTGCAGCCATGCTGTATGTGTGCGCGCTCGGTACCGCCGATCGCTTGAAAGTTTTTTTTTAATTTCATCAGTATGACCACAACGAGTCCATCAATCCATCTTGATCGAAGAAAGTCTACATTTTTTTTTTTGTAAGTAGCGCGGTTTCAAATAAAAAAGAAAATGTCCCTATATGCTGTCTGGGAAATCGTAGACATACAGGTGCTTTCTGACGCTATGAATCCATTGCTAATCTGTCTCAGACTCTTTTCTATTGTTGTTGTTGTTGTTGTTGTCTTCACATTAAAAACCGTTCCGATCTCTCTCTACCCAGTACCTTCGTATGTCCGTACTGATCCAACACTCGACGCGGTCGATTCCCGTGGTCACAGGTTAACTTACCCTAAAAAGGTACACTCAAATAAACTCTTTTCTATGATAGAGATGGTTTCGTTGTGTCATATTAAGAAAAAAAAAAAAAACGAAGCGCTACGGTAATCCGCACGCGGCGTTGTTGGAGGCGTTGTTGGGTCATACTGATGAAAAAAAAAAAAACGTTGTCTGCTGGCTGCTCTTCGGTGTTGTGTCGCTGCTTACTCTCTTACCTTGTGGTTATCCTTTAGCGTGTGCACGCAATCACGCATCTATGAAGCGAACGTTATTTTATATGCTGGGTGCATGCATAGGTTCGCATGCATCCGCCTTCGTACCAGCGGTACCACTAAGTCGGAGAGCAATAGTGCAACAACGCTGCCTCCAACATGCGCAATCTATGCCAACGGAGCCCCAGCCTGAGCCCCAACCGGACCAACCAGTCCCACCTCGTCGGACGCCGGTGCCGATGCCCACTGTTGGAGAAGGAAGTGAGCAAATGGACGTTATGTCAAGGTTATTGAAGGATCGCATTCTTCTTCTTGGGCAAGAGGTGAACGACGAAGTGGGGAACGTGTTGGTTGCTCAGCTACTTTATCTGGCGAACGACGATCCGGAGAAGGACATTACACTCTACATCAATTCTCCGGGAGGTTCTGTGTCGGCGGGCCTGGCGATATATGACACTATGCAGGTGCGTCAGCCGTGGTACGGTATGCTTTTTTGGAAATTGGCAACAGCAAAGTAGGTCGCATGACCGAACACTGGCGTTTTGCCCGCCCCGGTAACGGCGGTGCTGCGGTTGTGTCGCTCTGTGTTTTTAGCATAATACCCTCCAACGCATACCGCAGCAGTACAAACTGGAAGCCAAACTGGGGACACTGTTGGGGACACAGCACTCAAATTCCTGTTTACCAAACCTTGTTCATCACCATGCTCCGCTGCATGAAACGTGCGCGGGAAACCTTGATCTAGCATGCTCGTGTGAGGTGGTACGCTGTGTGATATACTGTCCACGCTGTGTGTGATGTGTGATGATGTGCCTCTCCCGTGGACCTCTGACTTGCCACAATCTCACAAGCCGCGGGTCCCCTTGTTGGTGAATCTGTGGGAGTCGTACAGCAGTTACAAGGTTTTGGGCGCTGCGCGCCCCCGCTTTATTTGAAGCGATTCCAAGGCAATGTTTTCTCTGAAAGGGGGTGTAGGATGTTGTTAAAATGAAGGTAGGCACCGATGGCAGTTAAAGTTTCCGTGAAGGTGGAGTTCCCATGATGGAGGTTCGTGTGTGATTTAAGGAGACGTAAAGGTCCATTATTTGTTTCCCATCGCCGTGCCCAGTACCCCTCCATTATCTGATACACATCCAGAACTCAGAACTGCAAAAAATAGACAAAATTGTCGGATGAACTGCGAATGAAGAAAGACAGCACTACCAATTCAACGCACTACTTGAACTGCAAAAAAAGAATAGCACTACCAATTAAACGCACTACTTGAACTGCAGGTAGGCAACATTAAGGCACAAAATCCTCGAGATCGAAGCAAATTAGTGCCGACAGAACTGCTGCATGCTCGTGTTTCGTGCTTGAAAAGGTCAACCACCGACACAGCCAAACTTGAAGCAGGAGGCGCCAATCAAGCTCAAACTTGCTGAGGGCGTCTAAAGTAGTGCAGGACGGTCGATGGTCTGATTCCTGCGCCTCGGGCGTTCGGCTAAAAAAAGCGCGTAGTTCGGACCTTCGGAGTGAACGGCGACAGACAACACGACATTTTTTTTACCGTTTTGTGAAACCTTTAGAGACCGTATCGGTCTCCTGGAGGAGTGGATGGATGGATGATAATGATGTGCTCTGACGACGAAAGAGAGTCATCAATCATCATCAATTTGTGTGTGTGCTACATGCGGCGGAATAAACTCCGCGTCGGAAAGTTGCAGCGGTGTGGCCCGAACCTGTCGTTGGCAGGCAAAATTGGTAGCACACAGCTATTCCAGCATCGAGGGACTTGTCAATCCAGCTGTAGGTTAGACGGGGCTTCAATTTGGTGCAGGGTAGGCAACATTTGGGCACAAATTCATCGAGATCCGAGCAATTTGATGCCAGAAGCAGCTGCTGCATGCTCGTGTTTCGTACTTGAAAAGGCCATTCACCGACACAGCCAAAAACGGTAACGCAGGAGGCGCCAATCAAGCTGAAACTTGCTGAGGGCTTCTCAAGTAGTGTAGTACGGCCGATGGTCTGATTCCTCGCGCCTCGGGCGTTTGGGTAAAAAAAGCGCGTGGTTCGAAGCTTCGGAGTGAACGGCGACAGACACTTTTTTTACCGTTCTTCTGTGAAACCTCTACTTAGAGACCGTATCGGTCTCCTAGAGGAACCGTATGGCGTTTTCGCGGAATTGGTAGCTGAACGAGCTTGTCTGGTGTCAGTTATCTCGCGATGACTCCACTTGAATCATGATGTGTGTCCACCGCAAAATTTGTTGTAATAGTTTGGCCAAGCTAGCACGGGCGTTCGCCTCGGCGGAACGTTCAGCCCGTGTTCCTTTCTTGTGATCGTGTCTTTTGGCTGCAGCATGGTCCTTTCGTACATCATAGATGCAGCACATTAGTAGTAGTAGGAGCAGCGAATCTGCGTACAACTTCACTATTTCATACATACCGCGCCGGAGCTAACGACATGTACAGCAGCATTACCGATAGAGCGAATTGTTCCAGTACTACACGGGGCAGAAGGACTATACAAATCTTGGGTATCGCAAATGCAAGGAAGGTCACGTGCAGTCCAGTCATCAGCACAGCGGTCAAATAGAGAGGGGTGCTGTGCCATGGGGGTTAAGTTTTTTACGGTGTGTTTGTCGACGGAGAGAGACAAAAATACCCAAAGCTTCCTGATGATGCTAGGAAACGTTGGCGACATACCCGACACACACCAAAACGTAGGAGTTTGCCGCACACACAAGTTCGCTGGGGCTTTATAAAGCACGCCCGACAGTCGATGTACAAATTTAGATGCATGGAGGACTGCGGTATCGCATTATGGTTGCTTGTCGAAGGCTGGCGAGATGGATATGACATGCCTCTCAAGGTGCACACGCGATGAAAAAGCGGAAAGACAAAAAAAGAATATCATGTTACTGATTATGTCGTTCCGTCACCTACAAGCGTCCAACAGCCCAATGTGAAGGGGTGCGCATGTATCCCTTTCGACGCTTGTTTTCCGGAGCTGCTTTCTTTGCCAACTGTCAACGAAATTATGCCGAACGGCCCGTTGGACCGTTTTCCGAAGGACCGTTACAGATGCGGCAAGGAGGGTATTTGACGGGAAATATACACCCCCGTGAACCGTACGTTGCAGTTTGCGTCTCCCCCAAGCATACCCCTTGGTTGTACATCGTGATCCGATCTGGGGGGTGCACCAAGGCATGAGCATCGAGAGTGTAGTTCTAGCTCAACATCGATGTAAGATATGTGTCGACGGGACCAGTACGTGTTGAGAAATTCCGGTCTGATTTTTGTTGCAGGCGAGGTCGGCCGCTGGGTGGCGAAATGTCACACGCGGCGTGTAGATCGGGCGGTTTTGAAACTTGGCACACAGTTTTACCTGCTAGATGATGGTTGACTCTCAAAGTTTGGTGGCCGTAGGTGAGCAGGCTGGGGAGTTGTCCATGCGGAAAAGAAATGGTTGCGTCTGCCGCGGGCGGCGGAAAAGCAGCCGGATTTGGCCGAATCGCTGTTTGTGAGCGTGCTCGCTTTGCTCGCCACTAGCGTTCCCGAGACTAGGGGGCATCCCTATTCTGTCCTAGGGCATCGAGCCATCGCTTACATGGGGGCTATCTTGTTCGGTTGTGGAGAATGTCGTGGGGGGAAAATGCGTGGATTTGTCCTCCAGGCGCGCGGCGCGTGTGAGGACGTGTTGTTCTGTACTTTTCCGCTGCTGTACCTGCGATGCGAGGTGAAACGTTCGCTGCATTGGCGAAGGCTGGTGTGTGCTGAGGCAGAGCCGCGCATCTCGTGATCGTAGCTTTGTTGAGCTCAGAGGATACAGCCACGGCGAAGAAGAGAAAAAAGGCAGACACCGAGATGACATCAATCGAAGCAGAGACACTGATGAAACATAGCACACAGTCAGTGGTCCCTGATGACACACAAGTTATTCAGCAGGGACCATGTGCAGCACACAACACACTCTGAGTGCGGGGGAACCACCCCGAACTTCAATGTCTACCCCACCTTCTTTGATGTACTCTCTTTATTTGTACGCGTTCTGTGCGTGACTCGTTTCACGCATACCTCAATAATACACTTGTGTCGGTTGCTTTCCCATGTGCATGGTTGTTATCCTTCGGTTGGAGCGGAAATACAGTTCTGCGGAGGAAATGGCCGATAATTGCTGCTGCTAGTAGTATTCTTCCTCACCCCGGCGCGTCACATGCATGTCTATCGGAGTTGCGAACTTGAAGTTCCTCTGTCTCGGCCGCTCGTCAGTTGTTTCCTTCTTCTCCCTCATGCTTGATTCTCTGTTTTGCAAAGACAGATGCGCAAAAACGCGCAGAGACACCCCGGCTTAGGCGCTCCAATCGCCCACTTCCTCCAAAAAAACACCCCCGATAAAACGTCCCACCCAGCAAGGTCATCCCCGACGTTCTAATTTTGCGTAGCCTTACTATGCCGACACAGCGAACATTGTCTCGGCCGTGCATTGCAGTTCATCCCATGTGATGTGGCCACGGTATGCTTCGGAATGGCGGCGTCAATGGGGGCGTTCTTGCTTGGTGCCGGCAGCGCCGGAAAGCGCAAGTCCTTGCCCAACTCCCGCATCATGATTCACCAACCTCTCGGCGGGGCTGCAGGGCAGGCTGCCGACATTGAAATCCAGGTGCGGCTGTGGTTGAAAGCAAGTGTCCAGGTGATCAAGATTCACTGAAACTGCAGACGCCGTGCCACGATATGTCAGCATCTGTGGGCTCGCATCTTTGGCACCGAGCGCTCCTTATTTCGCATATGAGGTGGTATGTACTAGCCCAATTCAACCAATCTCGCTGACCAAGTGGTTCTTGGTGTCTACATGGGGGTCTACCTGACATGTAGTTTTTCACTTACAATGGTCCCCACGAGCCGCGGTAGATACCCACCCGATATTCCTCCTCATGCCGCGAATTGGGTTACCATCGAGAACCAGACCAGTGCGCTTTGGCAAATCACATCCATCCATCTTAATTTAGCACATTGGGAGAATTGTACTGTCGCGAAAGGTTCGCATCGACTTTCCACCCAAGCCACGCAGAGTAGTAAATTATACATCCTTCGCACTCACACCTCGAATATGCCTCCTTGCTTGGCCCGCTAACGCACTCAATTTGTTTTTTTGTCGTGCAATCCGGTTTGTTATTGACCACTTGCAGTGATTTACGGATTGATAGTGCCGGACCCCCTCTTCGCTGACCCTCTTGACTTGTTTTACGCGTCTTGGCACAACGTAATCAACCCGCAGCACCAACGTTCCTCGTTGTTGGGGCCTCTTTTGCCGTTACTTTCGCCAGGCGAAGGAGATCTTGTTTACGAAACGGCTGTTAAATGGCTACATGTCAGAGTATACCGACCAACCTGCGGACAAGATTGAGGTGAGTTTCAACGAAGATCGTTGCAACATCCCAGTAAGCTTGTTGAGCAGCCGTGGCGGAAGGTTATTCGGGTGTTTTTCAAAAGTGTTTCTCTACATCAGCGTGTAAACGAGCGGCGGACAACGTCAAATTGCGCTACGGAATGTATTGGTGCGGCCGTGAGCAGCGTCCATCAGTACCCTAGCCTCACAGATTGGTTATGCGCCACCTTGCGCGTATTCAAGCAGGGGCCAAACCACCTGGCCCTTCTCCACCAGCAATGGACATCCCTCAAACGACGTACCAAGATTGCGTTTTTTGTCCTGGCTGGGACTACGCCGGTCCGCGCCGGGTTACATTTCTCGGCTGGTGGCGGTTCCCGTTTAGAACCAGCCGTCGTTGCAAGAGGACGCCAAGACGTGCTTCACCGTTGCACTTCTAACGCATCGAGATAGTCTGCCCTCGACACGCAAATCTTCCGTGTTAGGGCCCTAAGAGACCAAGCAAGGGCCTTAAACGATTACAAACTTCCCGACTTTTGACATACCTGGTAGCACGAAGTGGAGTCATGGCGAGATAATTGACCCAAAGGGGCCAACTGATCGTGGTTCTTGATCATGTTTACCCGAGGAATAAGAGCGACGAGAGTTAGCCGGCACAAGAGGGTTTGTCGTCGCCGGTTTCTGCATGTTGAAAACGATAGCAGCCACGGGAGTCCTCCGAGAACACATCCTGGGGTGCACGTGCTCCCAACGAAAGAGCTCCGATCCGTAATGATGGATACAAAGTATGAACTGGAGAGCGATAGACCCACAGCAATCCCCAGGGCGTGCTACCAAACCCCGGTGACTATATGATATTGATGTGGGGAGAGTACGGAGGCCCCCCGGATGGGACAACAGGGGGTTGTATCGTCATCTCCAAGTGCGATCCCAGCCCCGGGCAGTACCCAGGTCCACAAGAATATGATCATGGTGATACGCATACACGAAATGCCGAACATCACACATCGAACCTGCAAGGGGTAAAGCAAATATGCAGGTTGATGTTCTGATAATAGAAAACAAGGATGCTTTTTGCGAGCACTAGCTATATCCTCTGTGCAGATAGAAATATGATCAGCACTATGATGGGGTTCGCTGTCGTGTTGTTCCGTGAATGTCGAGCATGAGTCTCACGATGTTACACGGAGACTTACCCTACCGTGTAAATCTATTGAGATATCCCGAAATAAGGCCTCTGCGGTGAAAGTGTCCCCCGATTTATATTCAAAATCAGCGGTAGACACGATCGCGCAAACATCACTAGATATCGTAATTTCGGCGAGAGTTGGCAAGGATCGGACAGGTAGCAACACCTCTAGACCTCGATATTGAAAATTGGTGTCGAGTTTCAAACTCAAAACGTCTCCATGGTCGGTACCAATTAGAGTTTTGCAAGTTCCATTTAACCAACATCTACTCTCCAGGAACCGGTGGCTCACATCACCGCTGCAAAACCAGTGTGTTGGAAAGTGCCACAGCATAGAAGCCGTCGCAATTATTTTACATTGCGCTAGCCGGGACGATGTTCCAATTGGCTATTGCATGGTAAGATAATGTTAAAACATGACTGAAATCGGCAAACTGGGTACTCTTCACGACACCACTACGGTACTCGCCACGGTACTGGGAGCACAATTACTGGAGGGCATAAGGACCACCAGGCTGCCGCTGCCAACACAAATTCGTATCTCGTCAAGCTTTGTGTCCTTCCGGAGAAAAAAGTCAGGTTTTTCACAGTCTTTCCTGATGACCTCCCCCCCAGTATCCGTTCCCTGCCTCATGACCGAAACTATAGTTGTTTTTGTTATACAATGTAGCGGTCGCAACAATTTCTGGTGTGCTGCATCCAGTACCTTCATCTGTCCGTACGAGTCTAACACTTTACGCGGTCGATTCCCGTGGTCACAGGCTAACTTATCCTAAAGAGGTGTACTAAAATATAAAGGACCCGAAGATAAGTCTAGAACGCTCCCCTTGGTGTGTATACATATAATCCGTGGCCGTGGAACGTTCCTGACCATAAGCTGGTTCACGACGCAAAGCAGAAAGCTTTGTCCGCCACTCCACAACGATGTATTGGAGAATTATGCGCTACCTTTGTTCATTTAGGTACAGGGGATTCTGTGTCCACCCAAGCTAAATTTTACATTTATCAATCATGCTCTCAATGATCACTTGAATATTTTATCGCCCAGGAGGACACTGATCGCGATTTCTTCATGACTCCCATTGAAGCGATGGAGTATGGACTTATCGATGAGGTTATCAAGACGAAGACGAGCGAGCTACCGCTGCCGGCGATGCCATCGTTGGGGTAGAGGATGCACTGAGCTCGGTTTGTGACCGGCTCGTCACACTTATCGTCTGGGCTCGGCAAAATGTCCGTACGGTCTATAGGAAACTGTCGTTCCGAAGCCGAGTTCGGCAAAGGACGGAGAAAGTACTCGACACACGGTGTGTGCCATCGCGCAAAACATTTGGTGGTTCCGCGTTGTCCTTCCCCGTATTGGTGCACTTCGGCCACTCATGTGTGAATGCACATACTGTTCAGAATAAAATACGAGGTCGGAAACGCATTTAAGTGGCTCTGGTGGGTCGTTGCAACAAGCACCCTAACCGCCCAGAGATGATATTGCTGTAGGCCACCAACTCCAGTCCCGGCAGGCCCAACTACACAATTTTGACTTAGCCTGACTATTTTATATGTGGGCAAAGGCAGAGCGAATATGAGGCAACTGCATAGTAATCCAGAGCAGCCGCGCTGAATACATGCACGACGCAACTCTCTCTGACATCTCCTGAAGGCACTTTTCTGAAGCACCCAGATCAGCGTAAACAACAGGCAATCAGCCGCGAAACACAGCAGTCAATCATGTGGTACACCAGTCATGAGGTACATGTAGTGTTCGTGACATTTCCGATGAGCATATGCATACATCGCGCTAGCATGCTGTAACAGCAAGTTCTCGGAGGTCACTTTAAATTGACCTGGAGTTCTCGGCAGGTACATGTAATGAAAGTGACCTGGAGAGGTTCATCCGCAGTGTTTGCGCAAGAAACAAGATTTGATCTTTTTATGCTGGTCAATTTTACAAACATATGAAGTCTTTCCACCGTGCGCAGGTAGAGAAATTAAGATTGCAGACGCGGACGCCCACATCGGCAAGAGGAATCAAATTCTGAAGCTTTAGCTTCAGTCTCATATTTCAATATCCGTGGGAGGGTGGAACTTTTATTCGCATACCGCACCCCTTGCCCGACCCGGTCTCAAATGCTGATCTCGAGCTACAGTGCAAATGTCGTGGCGCCCCAAGTATGGTTCGGTAGGCAATCGCAAACCATGACCCTTCCCCAGGTTTCAGCAGCTTCCACTTCCTGTGGCCGACACGACTCGGCCTTGACTGTTCCTTGTCTGTTTTGCCGTGGACACCGCCGGTTGAACAGCGAAAGAGGGTCCTGCGTGCTGCGCGCCACAATATTTTTTTTTTGTTTCTTCTTCCTGAGTGACCATGCTGCTGTTGCTGAATGCTTTTCAGACAAGGTTGAAGGATATCGTGTCTGTCGCTTTGGGGTGCGCGCGTCGCGTAGTAGGCGATGCGCGTCGCTTACTTTGTCGCCTGTTGTGTCGTTATACATGAAAAGCAACAGCAGCACAACAGTTGAAACAGACAACAACAGGCCTTTCTTCTCTCTTGCTGCATATATAGGCGTGGGTGGTATGCATCGTAGTAGTCTAAGCGGCATATGCATGGGTGGCATACATCGAGTAAGGGTGTTGATGCTTCTTGAGTCTGCTGCGTAGTCAGTAGTAACTTGAGCGATAAGGTAGATGGCAGCGCAATATTATTTACAACAGAAAGTGAGGAATGGCAACCAACAAGTCTGCTGCTCTGTGCAGCGGTGCACATCTACCGCGGACGGACTAGTTCGTCCGTGTAGTCATGTTTATTGTTCTCACTTCGTCACAGAAGGATGAAAGTCCGCACTACTCTTCTTGTAGTCTAGTTCCAACTCGGCCACTATGTGGTTGTTGTGTTTGTTGTTGCTGAGCCCACTTCGGATACCGCCGTTCGGCACAGATGTCTGACAGCCTGCGGTGGGCCAAAGGGACGAGAGTGAGTGAGTGTCTTCTCGAGAGTGAATGCCTTGTCTTCTCTCCGCTCTCTTCTTTTAGTCTACCTCTCTCTCTCTCGCCTTTCGCCGGTGGGGTCCCAACAATATCGAACTACGTCAACCGCAGTGGTTTCGCATCTTGCTGAGTAAGAGACTCCTAATACCCGTGTACCGGGCTGCTGCATGAGAGGCGATGTGCGCTACCTCTTTTATGTCAAGCAATGGACTTGGGGCCCTACCTAATGAATGCTGGACATGCAGTGCTATGTGACATGTTCCAGCGGCCCAGAGCGAGCGACGACCACGGTGGGTTTCTATGCTTCTTTTGCCTCCTCCCTCAAGCCTGTCGCGCCTCCTCACTTGTCTTTGATCTTCTTTTTTCTTTTTTCATGCTTTGTTTGTTGGGGTCCCCCAGCCACCCGCCTACCCATCATTTTAGTAATTATTTTTGTTGGGAGGGGTGTTTACTTGCCATGTTCATAACTGGGCCCCGGACTTTTTACTCGCACCCCTGCCCCGTCCCTTCCACTTGTCAACACACCACCACATCCTATTGTACCATGCCCACCGACACGTCCAAGGCTTGGGGAATTCTAAAGCTTTAGCTTCAGTCTCATCGTTCAATATCCGTGGAAGTTTCATTCGCATGCGCCCCCCCTTGCCCGACCCGGTCTAAAATACTGATCTCGAGCTACAGTGCAAATCTCGTGGCGCCTCGAGTATGGTTCGGTGTGGAATTGCAAATCACGAGCCGTCCCCGAGTTTGAGGGGCTTCCGCCTCCTGTGGCCGTCAAGAGTCGACCTTGACTGTTCCTTGCCCGTTTCGCCATGAAAACGGCCGGCGAAAGAGGGTCCTGCGTGCTGCGCGCCACATTTTTTGTTTTGCGTTTGTTCTTGAGTGACCATTGTACACATGCGGCTGCTGCTGCGGTTTCTGCTGTTATGGTCGGAATGTGCTGCAGCAATGGTCGTACGGTTATCGTAGTCAGGTTTGACAACAGTCTGCTCGTTCGTATAGCGGTAGCGGTGCGCATCTATCGCGACGGCAACCACATTGAGATAATAGTTCGTCCGTCGCGCCTCTAGTCTACACAGATAGTCGTGTTCTTCTGTGTTGCCAATTCATACTCGAAAAGAAAGAAAGTCTCCACCAACTTACAGTATCTCCACAGCAGTTCGGAAACGACGACTATTTTTCTTTTGTCGTGTTTGTTGTTGCTTAGCGCACATCGGATGTCGCCGTTCGTTACACGTGTTCAAGCCTGCGGTGGGCCAGAGGGATGAGAGTGAGTGTCTTCTCGACGAGAGTTCATGCCTTGTCTTCTCGAGTCTCTCTTCCTTTAGTCTACATCTCTCTCTCTGTTGCATTTTCGCCGTTAGGGTCCCAATAACATCGAACGTCAACGGCAATCGTTTTGCGTCTTGCTGAGTAGGAGGCTACCCGTGTACCCGGCTGCTGCATGTGAGACAATGGGCGCCGCCTCTTTCCGTCAAGCAATGCGCATGGCCGCTACGGTTCACCGGAGATGCAGTGCTGTGTGACAGCTTCCAGCGGTTCAGATCGGCGACGGTGTTTTTCGCCGGTAGAGCCCCAGAACAACGCAAACCCCGCGACTGTCTCATTGTTTTGGGGTCCCCCACTCACCCACCCATCCATGAATTTCAGCAGTTTTCGTTGGGGGGATGTTTTTCTTGTCATGTCCATGATGTGGTGCCCCGAGCGAGTATGGTTCGGTAGGGACTCGCAAACCATGACCCCTCCCCGAGTTTGAGCATCAGCTTCGGCCTCCTGTGACGGACAAGAAGACCGGAAATTGTCTCGCCATCCAAACAACAGTTGGCCAGTTGAAAAAAGGAGGATCCGGTCCGCCGAAGATTTTGTTTTTATGTTTCTTTCCCTGCCGACAAATAACCTCGGCTACGGCAGTGCAAATCTCATGGCGCCTCAAGTACGGTTCCGTAGGGAATTGCAAATCACGACCCCTCCCCGACTTTGAGTATAGCTTCCACCTCCTGCGGCGGATAAGACCGACGTCAAACCCTAGATGTTGTCTGTGTATGTCGATGTCCTCGCCATCCACGAACAGCAGTTGGAGAGTCACAATAAAGAGGATCCGCTTCGCCACCAAGAAAACAGATTTTTTTTCGATTTTTCTACAGCTGGATATGATGCTACCATGTATCGGGTATAGCTGTGGTTGAGCTTGAGGGATACAGGGTCTACGGCAGCATATTCTATGCGAAGAGTTAACGCCTTCCTCGCGTAACGATGCGCATCTCCCACGGCAAGCAGAATGGATGACGTCATCATGACGCTATCTCTTGTGACTACAAGTTCACGTACCAGTCCGTGCATGTATCCGGCTACTGCATGTGAGGTAGTGGGTGCTGCCCCTGCTGTTTGCTGCGGTACCAGTGGGTCAGAGCGGCAGGGGGGTCTTGTTTCTTCACTTGTTTCTTCGCTCTGCTCTCCTCCATTTCTTCTTTGTTTCCTGTCGCTGGCGGTCTCTCTTTTGTTATCGCCCTTCGTTCTTGTTTTCAAGAAACTGTGAGGATGTAAAATGGCTGAGTCTGACTGTTTCTTAGGGTCCCCCGCCCACCCACGACCCACCTGTCGGTATGATTCATTCGTGGTCTCCAATATTTTCAGCAGTAGTTGTCTACTACAGGACATGCGTTACTACTGCTGCGTCCATGCTGGGTGCAACACAAGAGCTCCGGAGACTGGTGGTCTCCTGACCTGATCGCAGAGAGAGGTTCCTGCCACTACCACAATACGACTCTTATGAAATGTCCATGACGGGGAACGCGTACTACGCCTCTTCTCTTTTCGTTTTTCCCTCTTTCCCGTCCGGTTCTTTCGTTTCGGAGAGGAAACCGACTGTGAAAAGCGCATCTTCTGGGGTCCGCATTCATTTAGTCCCGGATTCTTTCCAAGCGTGCAGAAGAGCGCAACCTGGGTGTGGTCTCCTTTTCATTCGGGTGTGACATGCGCACTACATGTATGTAAACGAAAAAACAGATCAACGAGATGATTCTTGAAAGCATGGAGTCCCTCGCCACAAAAACGTGCATGCGCATGGATGGGCGTAGTGAGAAGTGCCGGTCGAAGACTGACGGTTTTTTCGGGTGCGCGTGAGGTCGCCTCTAATATTCGTTTGTTCATTTTTTGCTTTATTGTCCAGTCTATAGTTACTACCTCGCATAGCGTATTGAAGCGAGCGGAGAGTCGTAGACTAATCTGTCGTTGACTTGCGGACCCTTCTTCGGGTCCATTTTATTTTTGTATAATTTTTTTTTTGGTAAGTTAGCCTGTGACCACGGCGGGAATCAACCGCGTCAAGTGTCAGACTATCATACGTAATAGTACGAACATACGAAGAAGGTAGAAGTAGGTACTGGGTAGAGAGAACAAAACGAACGGTTTTTTGTAATTAATTGTGAAGACAACAACAACAACGGCACTGCTGGGTTCGTCCATGGATGGTTTTTGCAGCACTTTTTTTTTAAGTATTTGTGTATAAAACGACTTCTTCATGTATGGGAAATGAGAGGTTTCAATCCAACTACTACAATAACTTACTTACTGAGTATGGAGGGTGCTCGTTGTTCTTATGCATGGCATGTACCGGCAGTAGTAGGTGACATAATATATCGCTTCATCAATATTCACAGCTAATAATGTTAGTCCACGACGACGAGGATGTTAAACGATAGGTTTGTTTCGGAAAGCTATCGGTGCCAACGCCGCCCGGCCACGCTTTCTGCTGTGGAGT